CATCTCCGTCACCAACCACCACTACCACCTCAGCCATCGTCATCACCACTGTCATCGTTACCAACACCTCTGCCATACACTGACACCCGCACCATCATTACTACCACCACCACCTTTGACATCCCTACCACCATCATCTCTGCCATTGCTGCCAGAACTACCCCTACCACTATAACCACCACCACCAATACACCCACTACCACCGTCACTGCTACCACTGCCACCGCCACCACCTCCGCCTCCAACCGCCATATTAATATATGAATAATCACTTTTGAAATGACACAAGCTTATTCATATATGAATAAGTATATAATTATTCATATATGAATATCCGTCATCGTCACTAACACCCCTGCCACCACCGGCACCACTACCGCCACTGCGACAACCACCACCACCTTTGCCATCCCTACACAACCATCTTCACCACCGCTTCCACCACCACCCCCACCACCGCAACCACCACTGCCACTGCCATCACTACCCCTATCATCGTCACTATATTCACCACCAACCGTCATATTCGTATATGAATAATCACATGTGAAAAGACACATACTTATTCATATATGAATAATTATATACTTATTTATATATGAATATTATATGTTACATCATCCTAGTAGGCTAAGATTCTTTATCGACAAATTTGAAATATGTGATCCAGATTTGTTCTCACGTTCTCAATTTCATAATTTTTCTTATTTTGAACCCTCTCATTATATATATATATATATATATATATATATATATATATATATATATATATATATAGAGAGAGAGAGAGAGAGAGAGAGAGAGATAGGTTCAAATGTTTCCAACAAATATTGTGTGCCTAAATGCACCAATGAGAATTCAAGAAATAATAAATAATTAAATAAATCAATAAAGGGTATTTTGGACCTTTTGTACTTTTAATTAAGGAAATCATTTAATTGAAATCCGACAATTATGGAAATAAAGTAAATATATTTGACCTAGTTCTTCACCTCCGTTTACTGCCATCATTTCCGTCTGCTGTCATTGATCTAAACCATTTCAATCAGCCTTCATCTTCCAGATTTTCGTTTCAGTTTGAACACCGATGGATGTTTGATTAGAGATAGCTTCAACACGAATCTTGAAGAGGAAGGGGTTCGATTTGAAGACAGGGGATGATTTAGTATCAATTATCTATTAATTACATTTTGTAGATCATCTTTCCCCTTCGTCTCCTCCGCCCTTTTCTCCCACAATGTCTCTTTCACCACCACCCAATTCTCCAATCCTAATCCTAAATCCTACAAACTAAACAATCGAAGAAACCTAACTGTATCCGCACTAGGAGCCGACACATTTGATGGAACAACACTGGCAGTCATCGGAGGCGGCTCAGTCGCAGCAATCGCCGCCGCAATTTCACTCGCAGACCCCGAGAAGCGCCGACAGTTGCAGGCGGAGGAGGTTGGCGGTCAGGTTCACGTTTCATCGGGATCGGGATCTTTCTTTCCAGGCTATTTTGTTGAAGAAGTCCATCAGGTCCACTTTTCCTCATTTACCCTTCGTTATCTCTTATTGCATCTAACTGTAAACGAAATATTGTATCTCTACTTGCTGTTTGTAAATCTTGTAACATATTGGAAGCATTTCTGAAAAAGATATACGTTCATTACTTGTTCTCTGTTGATTCATTGAATCTAAATTTCAACAAGTTTTAATTGTTTTAACCCAGTGTACGCAATCATTTTTTATTTATTTATCGATGTTTTAGTCGGCGACGCGATGTTGTAGATATGTTACTGTAATGAGATATATGTATGTATATTTGGTTCATAATGAATAATTCCATAGCATTTTTGAGCTTGATAATTTGTTGAAGTACATGAAAATATTTTCTTTTAGATCTTAATACGGTTGTAGATTTGATTAATGTTTTTGAGCTCTCGTATTATTACTTCTGTTATCTGAATTTAAAGCTGATTGATGCTTCTTTAAAGCTACAAGAAAAAAATTGACCCTGATTTCTTTATCTCTTGTTTATAGTAAGCAATGGCGATTCCAAAGCTTGATAAGAAGATCGTCAAGAAAAGGGTCAAGAAGTTCAAGAGGCCATACAGTGATTGGAAAATCTGTGTCAAGGTACACAATCTATCTCTATAATCTTCTCATTATCATTGAATCACCCTGTTTATTTGCTCAAATCGTGTTTATAATAGAATTGGTTTCCATTCTTGTTATTGGTCTCGATTCTAGAATGGAATATCGAATTCTAATTTTTATAATAGAATTGGTTTCCATTCTTGTTTATAATAGAATTGGTTTCCATTCTTGAATGGAATATCAAATTCTAATTTTGTCAGAGTAGAATCTTGAATTCCTTGTCAACTTAAGCAGTGAATTACCGTAACCAATTCTGTCAGAATAGAGTTGGTTTCCATTCTTGTTATTGGTCTCGATTCTTATAGAATGACATCCTAAATAATGAAACATTACATTCTTTCAGAATAATATACATTACAAGTTTAGGGATGATTGTTAATGTTGGTTTGTAGAAATTATAGTTATATTCTATTTGAATGTATATCACATTCTATCAGAATTTATTGTTTTATTCTATTTAATGCACTAAAATTTTTAATATTTGAAAGTTGATTATGTTTTCTTGTGAATTTAGGTTTGAAGATGTTTGCCATTAATGTGGAAAATGAAGAAAACATGGAGAACAATATTGTATTCTAGCAGAATGTATTCTGTCAGAATTTATAAATTGTTATTTTTTCAGAATGTATTAGTGTTTTTGTTAGATTTTGCGGTTTTTTTTCTTTTTTAACCATTTTTAGTTTTAATCTTTAAGAATAAATGTAATCCTTAAACCATTATTAGTCATAATTTTTTTAGAATGAATGTAATATTTGTTATAGTTTTTTTCTTTACGGATGAATGTAAATAGTGATTCGTAAAGAATAAAATTCGTATTCTTTAGAAAATGTTATTCTTAATAATATGTTGTATAATTATTTAAGCATGTTTAATATAAAAAGTATCTTGAATTAAACAATATTCTGCCAGAATAAAACAACAAATTTATTTACTAGTTTATTGTTGACTTTTTGTTATTCTGACAGAATAAAGTCGGTTATTATTAAAAATAATATTAAAATTTAATTAGAATTAATTTAAAATTGTCAGATTTTTTAAAAATAAGGGAATCAATGATCTCTTAAAATCTGAAAATTTCCTTTTTTAAAGTAGGTTAATCGACCAAAATACCATTTTGCTGAAATTTGTGTGATTATATGATACATGCTACCCTATTGTAATATCATAGACCCTCAGATCATAACTGTTGATTCTATTCATCCGGTGGTCCAGATCTGTGCATTCTGGCACACAATAGTTAGTAAAAACAAAATAACCTAAGCCTATATATATATATATATATATATATATATCTTATATATATATATATATATATATATATATATATAGGGTTACGATTAAATATGAATTACAATTATTGTGGGATTGTATGACAAGATTTTGACAATTGGATTAAAATTATTAATGGCTAAATTGATGTGGTATACCATAGTTATTGTGTCATACATCACATATTAATAATACTTTATTACACCAAAATAAGGAAGTTGCTGGGAGTTACGATTCTTTTTTTTTTTTTAAATCCAACTAACTTAACCATTTTTTTGAAACGTTTGTAGATCATATAACCATGGACATGTATATAGCTCTTTCATTCTTAAAGAATATGACTATATTATAGTGATTTTTTTATAATAACGTTGTTAAAGAATAATCTTGTATATATTTTTCAATAATAACAGTTTTCATCAAAATAACAATAGTTTTTATGTTAAAGTTGACATCAAAATAACAATAGTTCTTATATTAAAGTTGACATTCTCTTGAGAATAATGTAAAAAGTAATAAAAATCAGAATTTTTTCAAAGAACAAAATATGTTGTGAGAATAGGAGCATTCTTTGAATTCTTTATATCATATTTTTGCAAGAATAATGAATACGAATAAAAAATGGTTAAGAATAAGAATAAGTAAAATAAAACAAGAATACATATACAACATTTTAAAGAATATACATAACCTTCTATATTATATTTTTCAAGAATTGTTCATCATTTTTGAAGAATATACAAAAAAATTTATAATATATAATACATTCTTTAAGAATCTGACAATATTCTTTAAGAATCCAAATACTTATGTGGCAGAATTCCAAATCACAAAAGGTTCCTGTTCATCAACTTCATGAGAATTAATATGTATATAATTTCTGAGGAATCTATAATCATTCTTGAAGAATTTGCCTTTGCTTTTTGATGGTTTTCCCATGCCTTTTTCTTTACTTCTTCATGTTTGAACCTAAACACACAAATAATTCAATTAAAACACATAAAAAACATGAGAACATGCCTCCTATCACTTTGCAAGCACTTGCAATTTCTTTAGAATAATAAACTATTAGCATAATTAGTGATACTCTACACTGATTTTCCAAAGTACCATATAAACACCTGGAAAATTCTTTTATAAAGTATCCTTAGTGCAATGCCTTAGATCATTTTTTTTTACTATTTTACACTCTTAAGCTGAATTCTAAGACATTGTAACTGTAAGCATTGTATTAACTTTGAAAATAATGAAAAGGTAAAGAAATGCTATATTATATCATTACCTGAGATGTATAACCTGCAACAATAAGATCATCAGCCGATCCACCAAATGAAAAGTTAATTATTTCTTGAGAAGGACCAACATTTAGACAAGACACCTACATTTCATGTGATCCCTATCTCATGAGTTGTTGAAATTACTCGTACTGCAATTTTCCCTCTGTTCGCTATCAGAATCTTTTTAGAATGAGAAGTAACAACAAGTGTTCCTTCATGGTTCCCTGATTTGTGAGCCTTTTGAGAAGCTTGAAATTTCTGTCTAGTAGAGTTCACTTTTTTTTTTCCACGAAGAAGATACATTGGGAGCTCCTAATTCAGTAATACCTCCCAATAAACCAAATCATAGTATCAATCACACTTCAATATTTCTAATCCCGAATAGATATATTAATGAAAATACATACTAGGATTCAGCTACACATATTTTGGCAGAAGGATGTCAATTTTATGAAAGGGGCTAGGGCTACTAGCCATGGATATAGGCAAGAATTAATTAAGAATAAAAAAAAGTTGAGCAAAAATGCTCTTGAGGCAAATAAACACAATTACCTCATTTTTTCAGCATAAGACTTGGATTTCATCAAGCGTGATTCTGATTTGGGCTAAATAAAATTCCATTTATCAAATAAGGATAGTTTAAGGGGATTCTTTAAGATATTTCTCTGGAGCATTTCATCAAATGGTTGGTAAGATACATGTAGTCGAAGTCGTTCGTGAGAGGAGGTGTCATGGGTTACCATACCCATCTCACCTCCACTCCTTGCTCGGTAAATATTAACAAAATTTTTCATAACTCTCTCCATTTCTTAGACATAATTGCTTCAGATACACAAATTAAAAAGCTTACTCTAGCTGTCAAATTTTGGCTTGATAGTAAATTACCATATTTATCTCTTACAGTTACACATTGATATGAATTTGATCTAATTATTCCATAAACTAATTTAGTTAAAAATTGTCATGGAAAGCAGGCACCTGTTACTTTTCTTAGGATAGAGACCAAATGTGGTGTCGTACTTTCAGTACCTCAACATAATCATCCAAAACTGCTATAGACTGGTGTGGTTCTCGTTCTCTTCCACTTGGCATATATTGCCCAGATACACGTCTTTCTCTGTTGCATAAAGGTATCAACCTTGAAGTGCTTTCCCACTCAATCCAGGAAATGAGTTACCCACCCTAACCTGTTATCTATCACTGTCACTTTGTGATCTTAGTATTAGTAGTTTCCTGACACTCCTCCATCTTTAACTTAAAGAAATTAGAATCATTAATTAATGTAAAATAATGTCAGTGAATTAATTAATATAAAGAAAATTGAGTACAGGTGGAAACAAGGACTCACTGGGGCATATTTATCAGTCAACGAGTAGCTCACATGAAATAAGAAATAAACACAATAACAAGATCCATTAGAAAGGAAGAATAGATCACGATTAACTCAAATCACAACAAACACTTAATATTGGTAATTGACAATTTTCATATTAAAATTCAACAACTTGTGTGCAAATAAAAATAAATCGTGTTATTCTTCCAACTTACTGGTGAAGTAAAGAGAGTTGTAAACCTTAGATGGGTAAGAGAGATACGATGCAACACAGAAAGGGCAGGCTGCACTTTTTCTTATACAAAATAAAAAGATGGGGGCTGGGTCTGCGTCGTTGTGTTGCTGTGACGGTGAAGATAAGAAGCTCGTCGGTAAATAGACGATTAGTCTAGAATAGTAGAAGGCAAGAAGAATGGAAGATAAAGGGGTAGGGTTGGGATGGTTAAGAAGTTCATGCCTCAATGGGAAGCAGGAAATTGAGGGATGCTATTGTTGAAGGGGAGGCGCCGATGAAGGACTTATGTCGCCGGACAGGAGGTTCAGTGGCTTTGTTTCCGGAGAGAAGGTGGATGGAGTGTAAAAATCTGCGTGAAAACAAATTGGGCGTGAATAACCAAAGTTGATAAATAAGAGAACTACAAGATAATAGGGAAATGTTTACAGAATTAATTATATTAAATATAGTAAGTTACTATTATACCATAGTTAGAGTTTATATATATATATATATATATATATATATATATATATATATATATATATATATATATATATATATATATATATATATATATATATATAGAAAAGTTCAACTGAGAACCATTATTAATCAAGGAACCAAGGAACCAATCCAAAACGTCAGAATTTAAAGCGATCAACGGCAAAAGAAAGGGTTGTAAATTTTTATAATGGACGCACATGTACCGGATTATAACAAAACTCACTTCCTTTTTTTCATTTAAAATTTTTTTTAGGCCAAGTTGTTTATCGAAAAAAAAAACCGAATATACCGTTGTTCACGATTTTTCGTCCTCTTTCCATAGAGATCCATGATGCTATATAAAAAACGAACTTTTTTTTCAAAAAAAACCCACTTAATTTTCTTAGTTTTTTTAATATTTAAGTTTATTTTTATAAAAAAAAAACTAATTATACCAAAAATATTAATTTTTTGTACTCTATTAATAAACATCAACACCGACTAAAAAAAAATAAAAAAAAAATAAAAAAAAACCTTGAACAGTACAGATTCACACTGTGAATCTAAACTGTAAATATTTCAATTTTTAACATTCACAATATGAAAAATCTCGAACAGTTCAGATTCACATTGTGAATCTGAATTACTATTATACACACTGTGAATCTGAGAAGGTTCAAAAAAAAAAAAAACCTCGATCAGTGTAGATTCACACTGTGAATCTAAACTGTAAATATTTCAAATTTTAACATTCACAATGTGAAAAAGCTCCGATCAGTTCAGATTCACACTGTGAATCTGACTTCTTATTATGCACACTGTGAATCTAAGGAGGTTCATAATGTGAATCTGAATAGGTTTACAATATGAATCTAAACAGGTGAATCTAAACTGAAATAAAGTTTTTTTTTTAACTTGAATATGAATCTATGTTTAAAAAGTACAAAAAATATGAATTTTGATATATTTATTAATTTTTTTTTCTATAAAAAAATAGACCTTAAATTTTTTCATCAAAGAAAATCAAGTGAGTTTTTTCGAAAAAAAAAGTTCATTTTTTATATATCATCATGGATCTCTATGGAAAGAGAACGAAAAATCGTGAACAACGGTATATTCGGTTTTCTTTTTCGATAAAAAACATGGCTTAAAAAAAATTTTAAACGAAAAAAAATGGTGGGTTTTTTGTAAAGGGTGAATTTTTTGGTATAATCTGGTGTGTGTGCATCCAATGTAAAAGTGTACATCTATTTCCTTGGCCGTTGATCGTTATGATTTCCAACGCTCACGATTGGTTCCTTGGTTTATTGGTTAATTATGGTTCTCTATTGAACCTCACCCTATATATATATATATATATATATATATATATATATATATATATATATATATATATATATCACCCCTATATATCAATATATTATAGACAAAAAAATGTCAAACTTAATGATACCAAACTTAAAATATAACTTTATTTTTAATCTGAAAAATCTTTGTTATACATTTTTTCAGTAGGTTGTTACATGGGATAGTGATCCAAAATTATTGGAGAGATAAGATATCTCTAAAGTTCAAAGTACAAACTGCTACATGGAAATCTTTGACAAATATGTTTTTTTTCCTATATCTGAATTATTTTTAGTCCTTGTTTGATTTTGTATTGATTATATTTAACTAGATAACTGAACGAAATGAAACTTCTATTTATAAGAATTAACATAATCTATGATGATAATTAAAACCCGACTTTCTTAGTTTAATAGGTGTGAGAGTATACGAGTTGATTAAAAAAATTAAATATGAAAGGAAGAAACGTATATATTGCAATTTATTATTACATTCATTACATATAATACATTACATATATATTATAAATAGAAGAATTATGTGGCTTTTCAATTTTAAAAATTGAAAAAAAAGAAACCAGAAATTGACATGTGAATATTATTTCTTTCAAAAATACAACAAAATGACAAGTGTTAAAACTCATGAGAGATTGACTTGTGACATAAATGATTTTGATTTATTAGAATAGATAAATTAAAAATTCCACTTATTTTATAAATTGGCCGATTAATGATTTTCCGACAACTAATTATTTATTCGCCCACCTGCTTGCCATAAGGAAAAAGGGATTGGTTGGTCGAACATGAACGAGACGCACAGGCAAATCTTTGTCCCTTCTTCCTCTCTCTTATAAATATTTCTATGATGGAAAACAAAAAGAAAAAAGGTTTATAGGTGGCCTTTGAATCTAATTGAGGTTTAAAATGTAAAGTGGTCATTGTTATAAAGTATCTATATGTAAGATGTTACAAGGTTGAAATTTTATTTATTTTTGATGTTACAAGGTTGAAATTTTATTTATTTTTATTTTGTATTATTCAACACATGCTTTAAGATTAGGTAATAGATAATTACATTTTAGTTAATCATTGTATATTTGTAATTATCAACTCAATCTTTATAGGAGTTATCTTTGTAAAGCTGTTATTATTATTAATTATATAAAACATCAAACACACAATAATAAGGAGTGGTTTGATTTCTATATGGTATCCGTCTAACCATCCTTTCCCTTCCTCTCTTTTCCCCCTCTTCACTAAAAGTGTAGAGATTCAATTTTAAAAAATATTGTGGGTTAATCGAACCAACAAAGGGTAGAGATGTCTCATCAAAGTGTGCATGTCGAGTAATATAAGCAAGAGTAGATGATGGATCCAGACATTTAAAACCTTTGTATTGGGAGTGACATCCAATAAAAAATATAGGGAATACTCCTTATGGGAAGCTTGTGTATGGAATAATCTCTTATAAGGGTAAACTTGACATCCAAAAGTACGGAAGTTTCCATAATTCGGTATATGTGAGTAAAGAAGATGAAAAGGAGAATTATCGTCTAGAACTTTTGTAGGTAATCGATTGATAATAACGACAACCAACATAAATGCATCAACCAAATAAGAGGCAAGAACATGCACATGAAATAGCATGGGTAAACCAGTTTCAACAATGTGTCAATGCTTGCGTTCAAGACACCCATTTTGTTGGGGTGTGTAGGGGAAAGATAGGCGATGAAAAGTACCATTGTATTCAAAGATCTTGCAAACGGTGTGATTAACAAATTCAGTTCCACCATCACTTTGAAATACCTTGAATTTTCTATAAAATTATGTCTAAACAAGTTTAATAAAAGCATTTAAGACTACATAAAAACTAGACTTGGTTTTTAATGGATAGAACCATGTAAAGCGAGAGTAATCATTAACAAAGATTACATAATATAGATAACCATTTGACAAAACATGTGTAGGCCCCCATAAATTACAATGAATCAAATATAAAGGGTGTAAATAATGTTTAGTATTTAATTCAAAAAATAATCTTTGTCCCTTAGAAAGCTGATAAGGTTTGCAAATAGTAGGTTTCGGTAAAACAAAAGAAACATGTAAAACACCCAACTTGTTCAAAACAGAAATTACATCAAAAGAAATGTGTCCTAATCAATTATGCCATAATTCAAAGGAAGCTTTCCTAGGTGCACGAGAAAACGCAGTTACAGTTGTTGGGCCATCTCGACGAACGTAGAGTCCGTCTTCACATATACCTTGTGCTATCACTTTTTTGGTTTCCCTATCCTAAATAGTAAAAAATAGTTGAGAAAAGTGAACATCAACATGATGATACATAGTGAATTTTACTAACAAATAGATGATTCTTCATGAGCTTTGGAATGACCAATACCTCACATAATTCGAGTTTATTAGAAATAAGAGAACGACCCATATGAGAAATAGGAAGGGTTGCACCATTACAAAATGTGACTTGCATATTACCTGAATAAGGAGTCAAGGAGGAGATGGTTTCTAGTGAGGGTGTCATGTGTCTAGTAGCTCCTGAGTCCACATAACAATCTGGGTTTCTCTGAGTAACATGCCATTGGGAATGAAAAGTTTGAGCCAAATTTACACCATAGTTGAAGCATTAGATGCATAAGTACGAAGATTTGGACCAGAGGATGCGTAGAGTCCATATGTTCGGCAGAGTTGATAGTGTGGGGGATGACGACCCCCACACTCTCTACCGCCTTTGCTTCTATTATCCGTACTTTCATTGGATTATATTTGGAGTGTAATTTATCTTATGATTTGTCTATTTTAAGTCTTCATACTGCATCAAGATAAAACTAAGACAACCCTATTAAAAGTGTTAAGTTATAGTCATATAGGGACCCATATGTAATATATATATATATATGTATATATATATATATATATATATAGATATATAATATATATATATATATTATATATATAATACAACACCCCTATGTAAGGAGACTTCTTCCGCAATTGACATTGTATTAAGCTAGGGTTTCCACCTTTTTCTCATGCTACGTATCACTCATGCATTCCCTCTTGGTTGATTTTTTTGGGGTTATACGATGCCTTCCACTGCCTTGATCGATCCCCATTGCTCCGACGAGCCTCCTGCTCCGGTTCATTGTTGCTGCTGTTTCTCCAGTTGTGGTTCTTTTTTTCCCGGTGCTCATAGGTTCGTTGGGATATTCTGTCCCTTCCTCTCTTTGCTAGATCGTTGCCTAAGGGAGCCTCATAACAACCTTCTCTCTCGATTTCTACTCTTGTGCTCGAGTTTATACCTCATATGGTGCTTCCTTATCACATTTTCTTGCATGTAATTTATAATGCAGCTAAAATTTTACATAAGGGTTGTTTGATAGTAACTGACCGGGTTAGATCAAGCTGAAACAGGCCCTGACTGGGTCTTATACTCTGACTGTATCTGTCTCTGACTATAACCATATTGTTTGATTACACATTTGACTTTTAATACTTAGTATTGGAATGACCATTTTACCATTATATTATGTTTTTTTGTCGAATACAAAGTATATGTTTGATTGTAGAGGTGAAAAAAATAACACCAATATTCTTTTCTAAACTTGATACATGAAGGCTGTAGCAATCAATGGAATAAATATTTTTTTTATCATATTTATTCTTTTCAAATAACAATATTTTAGACTAAATATCCTATAGTGTTTGGAATAAGATTGTATAAATACAAATTGAAGTAGTTACAACAAAACTATAACCAAAAGAAGCATATAATAGCATTATACAAAATCTATTATATTGATCATTAGCCACTATTTCATATTTTCTTGTAGAAGCTTCATCATCATCATTGTTGGGTTATGAAGTGTTGCGTCATTGGGCCTTTAGTCTAGGTCTATTGTTTCCATGGTTATGGGTCTGTCCATCCGTGTTTCATTTATTAGGGTTTACTTTATATAATGCATGCATGCACCATAAAATCTACACTTTTGATAGTTAATTCTCTTTGATCGTATTGTAACCCTAGCACACCTCTACAGTAGCAATTTTTCATAGAGTTCTTCTGAGGTTGTGACTTATTAATCATTCGACATAAGCATTGATTCATCTGGTGTTCTTATTTGCATTGTGTTCTTGATTTATCTGTTTGAGAATCTTATCGATCTAAACGTTTTAATCTCATCAGTTGGTATCAGAGCAGGAGGCTGTGTAAATCATACGCATCTCTTATGTTTGAAGAATATCTTTAGGGTTTCCACTTTTATTGAATCTATTAAGCCGTCATCTATTCATTGACGTTGTTTATAGATCTCGATATTACCCTAATACCGCTTTACAAGTCTGATTCTTGACAGGTAAACAGATCAAGTCATTATGTATCACGACGACTCTCAAACCAATCCCATTAACATCTCCAACAACATTGGTTCGACTACAAGGATTCCGATCTTGTATACTCAAGAGTATGAAGTCTGGGATCTTCACTTTGAAGATTATGTTCTTGGTTCAGAGGACAACAGATATTTAATCTGGGAGGCAATTACCGTGGGTCCTTTTTCTCATACTGGAACCGAAAGAATCATCAAGACTCAAAAAGAGTATAATAAGCTGATGATTGACGTGAAAGATGTCACTCAAGACGAGAAGGACAAGCTGCTTAGCAACGTAAAAGCAATGAGGATGATCAGATTTGCTTTACAATCTGACAACTTTCGTCTGGTGAGTGTGTGTACTACTACAAAGAAGATTTGGGACAGGCTTAAGGAGTTATATTCCACCGATGAGGATCTCGAACATTCCACTCAAACTCTTCTGCTTTCGGAGTTTGGTGACTTCATGCAAAAGAAAGATGAAAGTCTCATTCAAACATTCGATCGTTATAACCATCTTCTCAGCAAGTCACTTTTATGAATGGAATTGGCAGAGAGGTGATCGAACAGAAAGTCACTTTTATGAATGGTCTAAGGCCAGAATGGATGGCGGTGGTTTCAACTGTTAACGCTCATGAACAGTTTAAATCCTACTCGTTGGCGAAGCTCGTGGGAATTCTCAAGTCTCATGAAAGTGTTGTAACCAAGGAAACGAAAGTAGTTTCCGGAATGGGATCATTGGATCTTATCTCAAAGGGTAAGAATGTGATTAAAGAAGAAGCAGAATCAAACCTTTCTGAGTATGATCTAACAGATGAAGAATATGCATTGATGGTATCCAATCCCAAGTGGTTTGCTAGAAAGAAGTTCCCAGCCAAGAACCGAAACTGGCAGGGAAGCTATAGTTCGGAGAAGGCGAAAGAGGAGATTAAAAGTACTCCTCATAAATAAGAAGAAAAGAAAGAGAGCAAACTTGTGGGTGACTCGGGCTATGACTGCAATTATTGTCAAGGAAAAAACCATCTAGCGAAGGAATGCATGCTAAGAAGAATGAATGAGAAGAAAGAGGGTGAAGACGATGAAGCTTACCACACTCGTAAGCTTGAAGAAGCCAAGAAGAATAAGTTTAACGATAAATCCATGCCTGTGTTACTTGTGTAGGAAAATGTTGAAGAAAACGAGTTCGGTGGAGTAGAGGTATGGTCTACTGATTCAGAAGATGAGGAAGTACGCAAGCCCACTCATGGCAAGGCATTTGTTGCGAAGGAAGAAGGTTCTGAGTTTGCTAGAAAGTGTCTGATGGTGACGGCTGGAGTGTCAAAAATGAGAGGTTACACTACAGATAGCGGGAATGATGAAGCGAAAGAGAGGGAAGATAGATGTTTCACAACGAAACCGGTTGGAGAACAGATCAACGAATGTGATCAGTTGATCAAGAAGGTAACTCTATCCTTGAAACACTCAAAATACCCGTTTCTAACTATGAAAAGGAATTAAATGATTTAAAATCTAATTTTTCTAGTCTAAGTGGTAGCCTAAAACAAACTCGCCTCACAAATGCTAACCTAACTGACCAAATTAGCAGGGTGTGTTCCAAGAGTGAGGAGCGAAGGATATGGATAGAGCAGAAGGAGTTAGAGTTTGTTAGGGCAAGAGACGAATTGATATATTTGCAACGTGACAATTTGAAAATTTTGAAACAAAGGAATATTTTTTGTTTAATTGCTAAGCGTCTTTATACAAATATTACTCAGTTGCATTTAGATTGCGATATTGGCAAAAAGATTCACAAAATGATTTTGCCTTTTCTTGAACTGAAGGAAGACGAAATAGATGCTGATTGTTATAACTGTGAATCAATTGTCTCGTCAGAAGAAACCACTGATGCCTATAGGATTGGTCTGGACAAAATTGAGTCCTTTATTAATTCAAAAGACCACAAGGACATGCTTAGAAACTTATTGGACGAAAATGATAAGTTGAAAATTAAGACCGAAACCGTATAGACTTTTGATTCATTGAGTACCAAGTTAAGTTCAGAAAACAAGATTGATGTTGACAATACTTCTGAATTTGACGAGGATAATGATATGAGTGAAATTTCTGTAGAGGACGTGGTTGACTGTTCTGCATTTGTTAAAACCGAACCCGAACCCGAACTAGCGAAAGTCCTTATATCTGAAACTTCTGTTGAGTTCGCTCGATCGTCTAAAGACAAGAACAAAGTCCTGAAAGAAAAGGTTGTGGTATACCGAAAGGTACAAACTGTACCCATCAGTGTACGTCACCACTGGAGTTACCAAGAAGCAAACTGTTGAGCTAACTTCCCTGGTAAATGAAGATAATGCTGATGGCTGTGATGAGTACTTTTGGTCTGCACCGATTGATAATGCAGATGAAACGAAAGGATATCGGAACGAACCTCTTGGGGGTGAAAGGCAGATATGTGGCTGAACCAATCAATAAGCCATCTAACTTCGCTAAAGCAAGTAACAAGTGTACAAAAGAAGCTCAAAGCGAGACCAAAAGAACAAGCGAATCTC